TGGGCTGAGTTTGACACTTGTTACAGGTGTTGTGACAGATATTGCAACCCTAGGCAATAGGCAGTATCTTTGGGGAACACTAGATTATATTTTTTAATGGTTTATGTATGATTGTGTTCTACTCCATGGGGGAGAGTTACCACAGCCCCTCCAGGAACTAAAAAACAGTGGGAGGTGATTAAGGTGAGTCACTGAGAGTAAATAAGGACAGAGAAGTTCCACCCCTGGAGTGCCTTCTATAGACTAGTTCAGGCTGGGTTTTCCAGGGACAAGGCAACAAAGAAAGGGCTTTTGGTATCAAAGGATGAGCTTGGACTGACTCAGGCCTTCTTTCTGAGCAAAAGACAGGACATTCTGTTCAAGGAGGACCTCCCAATCCTTGCAGAATGGCTGGAAAGACTTTGGCCTACTAGGTCCCTCATGTGTGACCTTTGGTAAGTGTTTAGCATGTGTATGGGAACTTTTATTGCCTTCTGTGTTTTCTCTGTAAATCTTTTACCTCAACAGTAATTGTGCTTGCTTAGAAAGAGCTGTGTGTATCTTGTAGCTGCTGGCAATAAGCTATTCATGACCTTCAGTGAGACAGCAAAGTGCAGGTATGGGTTTTAGGCAGACTGGTTGCTTGGGACATCATAGTGTAAAGCAGGTTGCTCTGCAGACTCGAAATCCACTGATCAGAAGGGAGTGGGACAAGGGTCCCTGCCCAGAGGCAGATGATGGCTGGAGACCTGAGACCTGACTGGGCACTGCGGAGGTAGGTGCAGTTACCCTGAAACTGTGATAGGTGTACTGGGGGTTCACGTAGGTGCAGGAAGAAGAGTTTGTGAAGGTTGGATGGGAGTGCTAGGTTGGGGGAGAGAAGGGAGGTGCCAGCTAATGTAGCAAAACTATAAGAATAAAGTTGTTTCTTTTGTGTGGCCAGATTTTCCCAGATGTATAAATGGTGAACCCGCAGGAAAACAATAAGGGAGTCACAAAAAAGCTACATAGTAGCTTGTACAGCGAATCATGTCTGGAAATCATTAAGAGTAACAGAAAGTTCTCTTTGCGCCCTTCTGACAACACTGAACATTATTCTGCTCTATGCAGTAGCTTCAAATGAACACACATGATGACAGGATTATCAAAGTATCACAGTACCATTGCACCTGCTCTTACCTAGCTGTGGACTCTTGTGTGTCATGAATAAAAACAGAGGATGGCTAAAATCACAGCAGCCACTGCCAAGGGAGAAACAGAGTGACTAGTTACAGCACAAAATGGACAAAACAAGTGTTTTACTAACCTTAGTAAATAAGATTCACATTTAAATGAATTCCAAATCACAGTAGTGCTTTGCCATCTTATTGATATAGTGGGAGTCATCAGATGGCGCCGTTACGCACTCTTACAAGTTATTTTTCTATGCACGCAAGCAATGTACAGTCTTTGAGGAAGTGCTGTATTGTTAAGCTTTCTGTGATGTCCATTCTTTTGGAGGAACTGTGGCAAGCAGCAAGAGTTTGTCCGACTTAATTTCCAGCTAGAGTCAATTCTTGGGGCTGCATAGCTTCCTGAGAAGACAGGACTGGTATAGGTGTTTGAGCTGCGAGTTCTGAAAGAAGTATTTGTGTGTGTGCTCATTGTGACCACCAGAGTTCTGGACTGGTGTTTCAGAATGTAAACAAAAAAAAGTTACACTAAGAATATACCTAGACTCAAGTCAGTTTCACAGTGATAATGCAAGGCCCTCAGTTCTGCTACAGCTGGCCAGAGGGGTGATAAAAGTTTGGACTAACTGATTTGTTATAAAACAAGCACTGATACAACAAACCTATATCCAAAGCTTGATGTAAACCAAACCCTTGCTGAGGCAAAGTTAACTTTTATTTTATTTATCATGTTTGTGAATCTCTGCATTTCCCGTCTTCATCTGGACTCATTAGTACCCAGATAATGTGCTTTCAGCTTCAGAAAAACAAAAAAACATTGCATAGTTTGTGAGGCTGAACTTGAAAGATTTCCAGGGTTAGGAAATTGGAATTGGTGTACACAGTTGTAACTCTATGGGCTCTAGGTCAGCCAGAACATATGACGCAAATGGTGATATGGATTAAATTTGTGTTTTCATGACTGTGCAAAATGAACATAATGTTACAGGTCAAGGATTCTGAAGAAGAAATTGTAGTAAGAAAAGTCTTTATACGAGGATAGCGCCTGTTTCTGATCTTGCTCAGATTGGTTTTAACACTGGTGAGGCTCCATTGACTTAATTGGACTTACAGTTTATTAGAGCTGGTTGAAGTTTTTCCAAAAAGGTAGGGTTTCATCAAACCAAAATCCTCATGGGAAAATGTCACTTTTGATAACTTTTTCCTTGGAAAATTAAAAGTAAAAAAAAAAATAGTTTTGCTTCATATTGTGACTTTTGCTTTCAGGGGCACGTGCAAGGGGGGGGGAAGTGTAGCCCCCCCTCCAAAAAAAAAATCATCTCCACCACTGTCCACAGCTTCTGCCTCGGCCCCCGCCCCAGGATTCCCTCCTCAGAACTCCTTCTCTCCCCTTTCTGCCAGGGTTGGAGTCAGGCTGAGTGCGGCTGAAGAGACATGCCTGGGAAAGGCACTGCAGCTCCTTCTCCCACTGAGCCCCATTAAATGGTGCCCAGAGCAGGGAAGGTTGGCTGACAGCAGAGTTCTGCAAGAAGGGGCCCAGGAAGCCTGCTGAGCCCTGTCCCTTCCTTCCCCACAGCCTTCAGTAAGTGTTTGGAGCCCAGGACAATGGGGGGAGACAGCGGGGTGCTGGAGGGATGGGTGGGGAGCTCGGGGAGGCAGCGGGAGCCAAGGGGGTGGGGAAGGCAGAAGGACCTGGGGACTTTGGCTGGGAGGCTGGTGTGTAAAGTGCCTCCCCCAAAGTAGTCACATTTAAATCCCTGTGCACGCCCCTGTTTGGTTTGATGTTTAGATTGTGCTCCCCCTGTTTCTCTCCCTTTTATACGCCCCCACAGTTTTTCACATGTGGAAAGAGTGTGTGTGTAGGTGCGGGGGGAAAGTAGAGTGACAAGGTACAAGAAGAAATATTGTATCCCTATGCACACTTTCTCTCCCCTTTCTATTCCTCCTGCCTTTCTGTCTCCTTCCAGTAGAATAGATGGTAGCAAATATTTTTAAAGGGACACAGGGATAAGTGGGTCTAATGCCCCCTGGCGTACAACCTGGATTGTGGGATACTGTGCCCCCTTTTTCTCTCTGGATCAGGGTACCTCTCATACTGCTCTGCTCGTGAAAAAGCAGTTGCTTCAGGCTTCTCTCTCACAACCATTAGCACCCAAAGTTACATGCAGGCTCTCAATGCCTTTCATGAACTACACACAGGGAGTCACCAGCAAATCCCCCCAGCCTTGCACCCCAGAAATGTACCATCTTACACTACTCAAGCCCAATGAACAATGCAAGCTCATTAATTGGTTTGCCACTTCATCAAAGGATAGTGGACATGCACCAGTCTTCGTAATCTGAGCAGATTCCCCAAGACTTAGGACAAACTCACTGGTTAAGATGAAACATTAAAATAAGTTTATTAACTACAGAAAGGTAGATTTTACATGATTATAAGTGGGAGGCATAAAGATCAGAGATGATTACATAACAAATGAAAAGTAAACACACATTCTAAATCCTAAACTTTATCTGACTAAGCAATAAGTGTCCCTTATTTTATACCCTCAGGTCACGTGCCTGGAAAAATACTGGCTCAAACATGGAGTCAAGTATCACATCTCCTGATACCTTGCTGAGTCACGGAGTTAGCCCCATTGTATGGAGCTTGAGCAACTGTCTCTTATTGAATTGTATATCTCTTGTTTATAATTCCCCTGCTAATCACTGGCTGCGATGGTCACTTAACATCCGTCTGAGTGTGAGTCACCTCTTTTTTGCCACTGGAGACCTAGCTGTGGCATCTCCCAGGCACACAACATATTTCAATAACAATCATATAACAAAATCTCATAACTCCACATACAATGATGATATACATATTTTGACAGAAGTGAGTTTCAGTCAATCATGACTTGCCATATAATACCTTACAAGGCATTCTTTGTACAAAATATATCATAATCATATAACTGTAGTGAATATGTGGGTACAGGGTGTTATTTGAGGTACAGTGTGTCACAGAGGGGATCCCAGAAATCCAAAAACGGAAACCCAAAAACTTTAGTATTCAAAAAACAAAATTATAATGGGAAACAAAACACTTTTTTTTTCAATTTCTTGGTGAAAATTGAAAATTTTCAACATAAATATTGAGCTTGAAAAACTTGCACAGAAAAAGATATGGCTTTTTGGGTTTTTTTGCCAGTTCTGCTCCTGATCAGAATCTGACCAACAGTTTAAGAGGAGGAACCTGTTTTCATACATCAGCCTTGCAAAATGTCACCTGCCTGCAGGAAGTAAAATAGCAGTAGTTTTTTTTCTCATATGAAGGATGCATGAGTAGCTTTTATACCTCTGATGGCAAATTTCTATCTGTTATGGAAGGTGTCTGCTTTTGTGATTGTACCCATCTTCAGCCTTCCATGAAAAGGTCAGAGCTAGTTACCATACTTCTTCCATTTATGTACTGGAAATCAGAGTCAGAATTTGTACCACCATTTATGTCATTGTTGTAGTTGGCCTAAGAGGTCCATGTAGACTTCATCTGGTTGCTTAATGCAATGGGATCTCTGAACCTCTTGAAGTTCACCCATAGGCACTGGCCAGTGGCCACCCCACAAGTTTGCTTGAATGACCAGATAAGATTAATCTGACACGCTGTGGTAGCAGCTCCCTCAGCTACCATCACAGTAACCCCCACATGGCTCAGCGAGCTGTTCCTCCTACCACCAGTTCCCTTGATACCTTGTGGAGAGAGAACAGCAGGTCCTGTTGTGCTGGGAGCTGAGTTCTGCATGGAGTTCTGCTGGCTGGTCTGTTCAATTCCTGACTGAGTCACTTGGCTTTTGTTTTGTCAAGGTTGGTGTTTGCTTCTCCCCATCTCCACCCAGCATGGATGGAGAGAAGAATGGTCTCTCCCTCTTCTGCCAGAAGACAATTGCATGACTTGCTGTAAAATCCTGCCCTACCCGGTGTGTCAAGTAGAGGGACTGGAGGGCACAGAGCCCTTGTTGCTACAGGAGCACATCCACAAAACTAGATGCAGCTGTGAGATAATCCAGGCAGTATCCATCCAAGGTAACATTCCAGGTGGGAGGCACAAAGCAGGGGCAGGCAGTTCTGTAAGGTAAATGCTCCAGTGAGACTATCCGGTGAGAAGAATGGTAATGAGAAAACACCTGGGGTAAACAGTTGAACAATTTATCTGAATCAATGAGCAGTGCAGAATGTTTGGTTGCCTTACTGGAGTTGGGATATAGTAGAAAAACCTATGAGGAGTATACATTTCAGGAAAAGACATTAGGTGGTACTTTCAAAAAGTACCCAAGGGAGTGAGGCACCAAATCCTGTTCCTCCACTAAAAGGTCTTACAGCCACAAAGCCAGCTCCCTAGCTGGTATAAATTGGCATAGTTCATTGACTTCAATGTAGCTGTGCCAATTTATACAAGCTGATACTGTGACCCACAGAATTACTTTGGTTCTCTCTCCTCTTCTCCCCATCCTACTAGCACAATTTACTTTTTCCTAGCAGTTCGACCTGTGGAAACTTTCACTTATGTGGTTTCTGTCTCAAAAATAAGAGGTTGTTTTGGGCAGATGTTGTTGTTTTTTTTGTTTCTTTTTCCACGGTGACTGCACCTCTCCTTGGTTAAGTGAGCATCTCTCTCCTTTCTTGTGAGTAGTTTAGACAGTCGCTGTACTGGTCTCACATGCCTAGTTTTTTTCCACCAGCAAATACCATTTCTAAATGTCTTTAAGCTGGATCCTGCCAACACTTGTTCATGTGAGTGGTTCCATTGACTTCAGTAAAATTACTCCATCTTCAAAGGAGTTCTCAGGGAACCAGTCCTTTGTGACTAGTGAAAAACGCCTTCAGGTGCCAGTATAACCCCTGCCATTAGACTCAGTTTTCCAGATGACTCTCCTGGAAATCTAATGTAAGCTCCAAGATTTCTACATTTAGCTTGGTAATTTTAACCAACATTTCATACGAGTTCTAGAAAACAGGCTTGTAAATTCAAATGCTCTTTGTAGACCACCAATGTAGATATGTTTTTTCACTGTCTAGTCCCTATTCAAGAAAAAAAATCTAACTCAAGATTTCTAATTTCTTTAGTAATTCCCACCCCCATATGTTTTTGGTTTTTATATCAGACTGTGCCATTAGAAATACTGCGGTGGAGGGGTGTGTGTAAAGCAATCAGAGGTGATGAAAAACTTAAGTATAATGTAGCCAATGAATTTCTATGAAGCTGTCAAAAATGCCCAGACGAATGCAGAATTTTAATATGAATATTGTGTGCTTAACTAAACAATTCTATATTTTCACTATGACCTAAACCCCTTCTATGTTTACCTTAGATTTACATAGTCATCAAACACTGAGGGACCTCTTAAAATCATGTATTATGGGCTGCAATATATAATTATCAGCATTTCACATACAATCGCCTAATATATAACTGCAAAGGGGGAGTGTTGGCTCCCCAGTGATTGAGGTTAGTAAGAAACCTGTCAGATATAGCACATGGTATTAAAGCTGACAAGTAATGCTTTTTTTGAACATAAAGTCTCCAGATGTGCTTTTAGAGTGGCTTATTTTAATCATCCCTAGCACACTAGGTCTTTGAATGCTTAACGTGATTTTCGTTTGTAGTAGTACAATAACAATTCTCTGTGTTGCATTGTCACTTTTGGGAACTGGAAAGTTAAATATATTAATGAGTTTACTCGATGTGTTGCAGATCCACCTGGGAATATCTCAGCATCATGAGCTGTCATTCTGTGGGACTGAACAGCTAAGACAATTTTAAGCCTATCTTAGAGCAGGGTGAACTCTAAAAAGTTCATAGGAGTTTGATTTGGTTTAGAATTGGAATCGGACCTACCTAAAAGACAAAAGCTCCGAGGTAGAAACATTGCTTTACATTTTACATATATCATTTTTATTCATATTATAAAATCTCAAAGTGAACATCCCAGTTACACAAACTCCACACATCTATCATATCCCTCATGTGCATGCATCAGTTGTCCTCATGGTGCTCTAATTTTACCTCCTTTCCCGTAGACCAAAAGATAAATCAGTGCAGTGCCACAGCTACATCAGATATATTAATTTACACTGTAAAGAAGATTAAACCAGTCTCTGATTTTTTTTCAGGTGCTGGGACACGCAAAAGAACTGCACCTGAACCTGCCATGGAGCATGCCACAAATGCGCTGCCTTCAGTAACAGAGACAATGGAACTACAGCCACCTCAGACACACAGTTCGGCTTTCCCCTGGGAAGGACAGTCAGACTTCAGCTTTAATTTATTAGTCTCTAAGGTGTCCAAATACTCCTGTTCTTTTTGCAGATACAGACTAACATGGCTGCTACTCTGAAACCTGTCAGAGTACATGGGCATTTCAGGTACAAACAGCATTTCCAATAAGCATGCATATCCTGTATGTCCCATCATATTGCTGTCTTGGTGTCTCATGATCCAGACATAGTCTGAGAGTGGCCAAATTCATCTTTGATACAATGGGAAATCAACAGAATAAACACCAGGAATAAAATTGGCCCAATATTTTTATCAACCTCATTTTTGTGCTAATCTTCTCACTTGTGGCTTTCCACCATTCAGGTTTATCTCTTCAGTGTGGATCATATTCTTCAGGCCAAGCAGCTTCTCAGAGGATACAAACTCCCTGCCTCATCCAAGGAGGACAACCTTTGGCTTCAGAAGTGGCTGGCATGGTGCATCAGCATGTTCATGTGTCTTGTACTTCATTGCAAGGCTTTGCAACTCTCCCTATGCATCTTCCAGAAGCAACAGACTTTTTTGATCCTGCAACAATGGCTTCACTCACGACCTTCAGCCCTACATCCCATTACTTTATTGAGAAGCTCCTTTCTTGGTCAAGCAACCCATTCCCTGTGCAGCCGCCCCAAACTCCTGTAGTCTCTGTGGTTGCTCCTTTCCAAGAGCATCCCCTGACTTCCCCATTGGAGACATCTCCTCCAATTCCTAATGTAAGGCACAAATCTTTACCTTCAAACTTGAGTGACAACACTGGGCTAAAGGGTGAAGAAGGCTGTGAGTTTGGACTACTTAATGGCAGGTGAGGAGGACCCTCCAGGAATAGAGCACCCAATCTCCCAAATCATTGACAGATGTGGGGCCTCGACCTTCTCTAGAGCTACATGTGCAGAGTTCCAGAGCCCCACTAGCAACTTTTGTACAACACCAGCCCCTCGACAGGTGGATGTGCCAGATCTTCTGGCTGTGGAGAAACAGAAAGGAGCAAAGTCATAAAACCAATCAGAGGATGTTGTCCTTGATGTGTGCAATAAAAGAGAGGCAGAAGGGTATGCAGGCAGAGCAACAAGCACTTCTCATGGTTTTCCAGGATATCCATAAAGAGTCAGTTAGCAGTGGTCAGTCCATCCACAAAGACCTACCCCAGTTTGGTGAGTATTGCAAATGTTTTCCTTTTACCAATAAGATGTCACCCTGCCAGCCAGTCAGGCCTTTCCTAGGAATGGGAGAGCATTTCCTGAGATACTTGGCAGCTCTGAGCAGCAGGCCACAAATGGTGTACCACCAGTTTCCCTTGTCATGTCCTTCCCAGATGGATCTTGCTCCCCTTCTTGTTCTCAGCGCAGAGGACCACAAACGAGGGGGTTATCTCCAGAGTCTCAAAGTGAACATCTCAGAATCTGGTAATGTCTCTGCCCTTCCTTCTCTGTGCTTGTCTCATAGGTTATCTGTAATGTAGCATGTCTGCCCACTAGGATTACATCTCTGCTGCCTTTCATACAGTGTATTTTGGAATGTGTGTGTGAGAGCATCCTATTTATCAGGAAGTTGTTCAATGGATCCCTGCTGATTTGACCGCTTCCTGTTCTCTTCCCACGTCCAAGTCCTTTGTCAATCCCTCAGCCCAGACATTTTGGCATTGGTATATGTTTCTAGAGCAGCAGAACACCACATTGTGTAGAACTGAAAAGATGCCAATTTGGCAGTGGGAAGTGGTTACAAAATCATCTGGGTGAAGGGGTCTATAAACCAGCCGTCTGCACAACAGTATTAATCTATTAGGAATGCATCCTTTCCCCATGACACAACATTCAGTATGTATAGGCTCTAAGCTGATCATCCTTGGTCCTGTTGGGGTTGGTCCTGCTTTGAGCAGAGGGTTGGACTAGATGACCTCCTGAGGTCTCTTCCAACCCTGATATTCTATGTTTCTATGGTCCTGGTACAAACATGCCTATATTGAGCCCTTTACACAATGGGAGGTGTGGATCAGGCTGCTCATTTATGTGCCTAAATATGTGCTAGGTGCCTGTCTTTAGTAACCCAAGTTTGAAGATTTGGGGCAAAGTAACTTGCTCAAAATTAAAAGATTGCAGTGGTTAGATGCCTGACTTTTCAAAGGTGTTGAGTACCCACAACAGCCATTAAAGTCGATTGGGAGGGGAGAGTACTCAACAACTCTGAAAGGCTAAGAGCACTCCAAGCCAGAGCACTCCCGAGTCTTAAACCTTCCACTCAAATAGCTCTGAGAAATGATGGCTTGATGGGTGATGGAGGAATGGCACGAACTTGTGGTCAAAGCATAAAGCCTGGGAGTCAGAAAACTGGACTCTGTGGCTATGCCACTGACCTGGGAAGTCCAGAATCTTCAAATGTGAGTGCCTAGATCTAGGCACCTAAATCCATATTTACACATCTAAAACTGAGGCCTGATTTTTCCAAAAGGTTTTAAGCACCCAGCCGTTTCCATTGACTTCAACTGGCATGGCAGGCGCACAGCAACTTCTGAAAAATCAGACCACTTATCCAGGTACCTGGATGTGGACTTTAAGCACTCATCTTGGCCAAATGCCTTACCACACTTTTGAAAATGAGCCCTGGAAAGATCTTGCATATGGCAGACACAACATATTCACTATGGAGAGCAAAAATGAACACACCAATGAGTGTATAATGATTGTGGATTGTTGCATGCTCTCACACAAGCCTACATGTTTTAATGGCCATGAAACCTTAGGAGGTAAAATAGCGGAAGCTGGGCTGGCTGGGGCAGAATGGGCTGGAAGGGAGAAAGCATATGGTCTTGGCTTGTATGCAGAAAGGCAGGAAAGATAATGGACTAGGTCTGGTGACATGCACTTCATCCCATCCATGTAGTACTTTGGTTGCCATCCAAAAATATGTGGGTACCTACCTCATGGGATGTTGGCGCTTAGTAATCCTTAAAGCATGGTGAGAGCATTGAAGAGAAAACACTATGTGAGGGAAATGCATATTCTGTTCATAAAATGTCCAGTTTCTCTTGTGGGGGTGGTAAATATTTGTCACTACTTGTGATATTTGAAAGGTTGGACTAATACGGGGTGGTGTGTAGGGGGCATCACAAACAGGTTTTAGGTAGTCACAGCCAACCTCACTTTATTTATGACAAGATGGGAGTAGAAGGTCCTGAAAATACTTTAATATAAAAGGGGTCATTATATGGAGAAGAAAGTCACTGATCTAATATACCTTCACGTATGATCTCTTCTAAAGGTGGCTCAGGTATAGAAAGTATAAGGATGCTTAGGCTAAAATTGTCCATTAAGAAGCAATGCTGAGGGTGTCCATTAACAATGGATAAATTATCTCCCATTGCTTAACTCCTTCTAAGTCAGAATTGCCTCTGTGCTTGAGACTAAAGATGCTCTTTTGGAGACATTTGCCCCAGTACCGATTTGGAGCAAGGTTAGTGTAAATCCATATTTAGAACATGGCATCTAGTGGATAAAAATTCTCACATTGTGTCTAAACCTCTCCCAGGCAGATATTTTCTGAATTCTCTCACATATATCTGATGGAGGACACGGGTCAGAAAAACAAAATAATTAATTACTGCATGCCACGATTAATAGGCTCCTGTTTTGACATGACCAAAACTGTAATTCTCTTACACCTGAGGCAGGACTGGAATGGAGACTTGTTTACAGGTATACATAGATAAGAAAATGTATGTTAAGCAAAGTAATAAGTAAGAAGCACTAGAGAAATGAAGGATATTTGCTTCCCCCTGAGTACTATATAAGCCAACTGAAAAAGGAAGCATGTGTTTTATAATAAGGGTATTTAAACAATGTCCACAGAGAGAATATTCACCTTTTCTCAAACTGAGGTCTAAGCTTCCAATCCTACCTGCTTTATTTTCACAAACCCAGATATACCTTGGTAGTGAGAAAACACGTAAGGCTGTTGTCTGTAGAGCTGGCCAAAATGTCGAACTTCTGGTTTATGGGAAACTGACATTTTTAAATTTCCGGTGAACTGGAAACTTTACATGGTGTTTTCAAACCCAAGTGTTCTCCCCAGAACCCCAGCAGCTGAAATGGACATGACTTTGGTCAGTTTCAGGGCTGCCCACCATTGAACAATAGCAATTAAACTGGCAAGAATACAAGTACAAGTCAGCAGCTATCAGAGCATTCAAGATCAGTAGTTGCCCCAGGACTAAGGGAGCCCTGGGCTTCCAGACTCCGTGGCCAGCTAACTCCCCAGGCTGCCTGCGTCCCGCATGGGCAAAATCTAACATCAATTATTTGTAGACAAGTTAGCCAAAGGAAAACTTTCCCACTTTACTTTTTTCCCCCAAATCCATACACTGTAATGTGTCAATTTATATCTGTCTTGGCTTTTTGTTTTTTGCTTCTTTTTTCAAGTTACACAAAGCTGGGTACATAGCATACAAAGTAAGCATTCCTTTGGCATGTCATTGACATCACATAGCTAACTAATTTCAGCAGAGTTTGAATTAGACCCTGTGATGGTCCTCGCTCAGGGTGGTTGGTAGGGGAGCATTGACTAGTGGTCAGAGCTTAGGCCCATGATGTGCAGGGGGGTTGATGGTAGGGAAGCCAGGGCCCCCCTACTCCATCTGCCTCTGACCCACCACCCTTTGAAGGTGATCAGTAATCTGACAGCTGGGAATGCTTAAGGATGCTCTCCCTGGCTCGCTTCCTATCCCCACTTGCAATTGTCCCAACATCACCATCTGGGTTAAGGAGGTGTGAGGAGTGTCTGCTCACAGCAAGGCACCTTCTGCCAGCTGTGTATAGCGAAGTCGCCCTCTTTCTCTCTTGGGCGGCAAGTGCCTCCTCCTGCAGTATGGCCACACCTCCTGGGCCAACTCTGTCCTAGGGCTCCCCCCCACTGGGATAGTCCAAACAAAATAAAGGGGTTTCACCAAGTCCGGAGTTTGTATGAGAGGGAGAGGGGAATGCTTCCTTCTCAGGCTGTTTCCGCAGCAAATTCTCCCTTCCCTCAGGGAGGCACCTTTGGGCAGTTGCTTAGGGAGAGATTCTGCCTTCCCTCAGCTCCTCACTCTTGGAGCTGCAGGTCTGCTCTCTTCCATGGTCTGCCACCAAATGAGCTGCTCCCCTGCCTTTTAACTCCTCCTCCAATTGGCACATTTGCTACAGGTACGGTGGGGCAGTGCTGGCTGGACCCAGAGTAGTTCCTTAACCTCTTGTTGCCCAGTGTGGGGTTTGTATAGCCCATCACAGGCCCTAGATAACTAACACAGGCCCTAGATAACTAACACATTCCAAAGCTAATATATCTCTAAAATAAGGCAGTAAAAAGTCTTCACGTGTTTAAAATGTGCCTCTCATTTGGGTCAACTTTGTTTTAGTTGTTGAACAATAATTTAACTGTGTCAGTTTCTTGAACAATCTCTTCCATCCCACCTCCCATGTGGCTGGCTAGGCATGTTTTGACCTGTCTGAATTCATCCATAAGGGTCATGTTTAAGACCTTCATAAGGACCCACTTCTGCTGTGCTGCCTGCAGTGAATCTAGGTGACTTGTACAAAAGCTGAATTGGTGTTTGATTCTCTTCTGCAACCTATGCTTGTCTATCCTTAGTCTGTGAGCTCTTCCAGGCAGGGACTGTCTGTTCCGGAGTGTCTGGAAAATGCCAAGCATATTGTAGATGCTACCATAAACAAATAATGAAAGGGAAAGCATAGTTTCAATCCCATGTTTCACCTTTTCTACTGAAGATCCAACATCGTCCCAGAGCAAATGTGCCACCCGTGAGATAATTCCCATCCACTTACTTATTTTAAACATTTATGAGCCAAATTTCCGTTAAGACTTCTGAGTTTAGAGATGGTCTGGAAGGTGCTAAGCCATCAAGAGATCATCCCATTCAGTTGAGACAACAGGAATCTAATGTGGACAGTAAAAAAAAAAGTCAACAGTGGTCTCCGTTTACGCTTGTACTTCCTGGAGCCAGAGAACGCTATATGATAGCTTAACCTAAGCTGTGAGTTTAGCCAAACAAAGCCAGCCTGGACGTGGGATGTTTGGGTAGAAAAGACATATTTGGGAACCAGTCTGAATGGGTTGCTGCTGTGCTCTGGTTCCAATGGAGGAAGTAGGCTATTTGGAGACATCTCTTCCTGCCCTCTTTCCCAAACTTGCTACCACTGTGTTTTGATTCCAAGAGGAGTGGGGCCATTTGAGCAATCCAATTTTGGCCTTCCTACCAAATAGCCTACTCTGACCACTTAACGACAATAGCTTATGTTGCTCTTTCGGCTCTGGGTTGCAACATGAACCTCCTACTCTGGTGCTTTAATCTGAATGTTGCGGCAGTCTAGTTGTCTCAAAGGACACGTACAAAGGAAGCATGTTGGTAATGTGGAGCAAAGTAGTAACCACATGCAACATTCCTGGAGTTGAAAACATTTGTTTCAAAGTGATTTTTTAAAAAGAAATTGTATTCTTGTACAGATGGAATTCCCTTGCCTTTCAAGTTAACTGTAACTATCCCAATCTTGACCTTAGCAGACTGCACAGTGTTTCATTCATAAAGTCTGAAGTGGAATGCTGTTTAACCTGAACAAGTGAAACTTTATTAAACCCTATGGACTGCTCTGTCCATATGGCTGAGTAGCTACCAGCCTCACTCCCCACATTCCCTGTTCCACTGGTGTCCCATCAATAATAGTACCTCCTGGAAACATTTGGCCTCTGACTCCAGTTCCACTGATCATGATACATAAAGTAAGTTTCCTAGGATCAGAGCTCATAAAATTAGTATTATAAAAAGGAAAAGTGGTGACAAAGGTGCAATATGGAGTGCATTTTAGAAATCAATTAAAAGAAAATAGAGGGGAAATTTTTAATGTCCTATTTCCAACCATGTATATGAAACAGCTATTAATAATACTGTTTATCCCTTAAATCTTCAGTTTTACACTGAAATTTTAACAGTGCATCCTTTTATTATCAGTGATAGTCATATACAGTATCTTCTCACTTAATGTCATCCCAGTTAACGTTGTTTCATTGTTGCATTGCTGATCAATTAGGGAACATGCTCGTTTAAAGTTGCGCAATACTCCCTTCTAACGTTGTTTGGCAGCCACCTGCTTTGTCCACTCCTTGCAGGAAGAGCAGCCCATTGCAGCTAGCTGGTGGGGGCTTGTAATCAGGGTGGACTGGCAGCCCCCCATCAGCTCCCCGCTCCCTTAAGTTCCCTGAACTACAGCCGCCCAACAGGCTATCAATTGCAGGGCAGTTCAGCTGTCCCTCCCCCACTGCCATGTGCTGCTCCTGCCCTCTGCCTTGGAGCTGCTCCCAGAGACTCTTGCTTGCTGTGCATGGGGGTGGAAAGTGAGGGACTAATGTCAGGGTGTCCCCCTCTCCTGCACCCTGCTTACCCCTTCTCCATATAGAACAGGGAGGGGACATGGATGGAGAGAGACAGAGCGAGCCTGGGGCAGCAGCTGCTGTCTCAACTTCCTGATCCACTTAAAAGACAATGCACTTAAGAGTGGGTCAGCTGACTTAAAGGGGCAGTGTGCATCTCTCTCTCTCTCCCACACACAAGGTATGTGTCTGTCTATGCTGTCTCCCCTCCCTCGTGTTCGTGAGAGGCTACATTAATAACAATGTGTTAACCCTTGAGGGCTCAGCCAAGTGCTAGTTCATCATTTAGCAACGAGGCATTCCCTGGGAAATATCCCTCCCTCTTCCACCCTCTAACTATAGAACTATAGGAAAGTTTTCTCATGGCTTAACTATCTCAAAACTTCTGGTTTTGATTTGATATCTCCAGTTGCCCTACCTAAGCCATATTACACCCTCTGGGCTTGATACTTGTCACCCTCACCCACTGTCTGGTCACTTCCCTTCAATTCTTCTCCTCCTCCTCCTCCTCCTCATTCCTCCCATTCCTTTCCCCCACATTTTTCCCACTTTAGGTGGGATGTTGCATATTTGTTTTTCTCATATTTATGTCATTGGGGCATGCACAGGAATTTAAATTTCAATGCTCTTGGAGGGACTATCTGCTCCCGCTGCATCCCTGTGGCCCAAAAAGCTCTCTCTCCCCACCCCACCCTGGGGCCAGAGGAGCTCGCTCTCCCCACTCCAACCCCAGGGCCGGAGGAGTTCTGTGCCTTCCCTTGCCGATTATTGGGGGGCTGCCCCACTTGACCCCCCCTTTGTGCATGCCCTTGCATGTCATCATAATATGAGTGCTTCCCTCATAGCCAGCTGCCAAATGCATGAGGGCAGACCAAAGAAGAGAGCAACGACCAGATCAACACTCCCTGTTCTAATATACTGAAACTGTCCCTTTTTCCTTCCTGATGTACTTTAGGGAGAGCAAGAGACTGGCTCCGAAGGCAATGCAAGTGTGGGAGCTCCCATCTGGTCTGCAGAATCAAAAGGACCAATCTGGCAATGGAACACACACAGCCATTAGGGACTGCACCTTGAAATGGTATTCAGGATGGCTCCATTCAGTTCAAGCTCCTGGATGAGCCATCCTCATTAAGTGATACCTACTGTATTGCTCAAGTATCAGAGGGGTAGCCGTATTTGTTGCTTTTTACAGATCTAGACTAAGAGTCCCGTGGCACCTTATAGACTAACAGATGTATTGGAGCATAAGCTTTCATGGGTGAATGCCCATTTCGTTAGACGCAGTAACTAGTGCATCCAGCTGCCATGGTGGGGTTGTTGTCTTTGGGCAGATCTACATTTACTTCCTGGTCCGGCCGTAAGCAATCGATCTTCTGGGATCGATTTATTGCGTCTTGTCTAGACGTGATAGATCGATCCCAGATCGATCCCGGAAGTGCTCGCCGTCGACGCCGGTATTCCAGCTCGGCAAGAGGAGTACGCGGCATCGACGGGGGAGCCTCCCTGCCGCGTCTGGACCTGCAATAAGTTCGAACTAAGGTACTTCGAATTCAGCTACGTTATTAACGTACCTTAGTTCGAAGTGGGGGGTTAGTGTGAACCAGGCCTTACAGAAGGAATATATCTCATAGCCTGGCATCTGACGCAGTGGGTATTCACCCACAAAAGCTTATGCTCCAATACGTCTGTTAGTCTATAAGGTGCCACAGGACTCTTTGTTGCTTTTTACTGTATTGTTATTTCTGTCATTTAATGTGCAGCTAAGACATAACTTACCTCAGAGAACAGAGAAATACCTTAACCATAAGGGTCAAGCTCATCTGTACAGGAGCCAGAGCTTTCTCAGGGACGGATCCAAGACTGGAATGAAGTCCCATAGGCACTAAGGACTATCTCAGACCCCCGCCATCTCCTACACTGAGTGCACAGTGCACTTCTTTTACCCGTCATCTCTAACATACAGTGTGGACATTTTAAAAACCAAAGCACTACACTGCACACCTAATTCTCCCCCCTTCAGAAAGGATGGGAGAGAGAATCAATCACAGGTGACTAGAACTGAGCTTAGCTTTAACTTCACAAACCTAAAAACCAGTTTTTGTGTTACAGATCAATTCAAACATTTTCTTTAGATTTTTTTTTCTTTTTAACCCTTTTTTAGTCTAACTACCTTAAATTTCAAAACAGAAACACAATTTTGTTTTTATTTGAAAAGGTCAAAATGAAACATTTCAACAGTTTTGAAGCTTTTTGTCCTCAACCTTTTCTGAGTAGGGAAATCCAACCTGGATTGGCAAACAATTTTGGTTTTGATGAACTTGAAAAGAAAAATGTGGAAAAATTTCCTACCAACTCAACACATGACAGATGTTAGTCACATCACTTAGTGCACTGCTGGAAGGTGTTCAGTTACTGTGGTGCTGAGGGCAGTATAAGAACCTACAAAGAACAGATCTTGCATCATTCCTGTTTCTCCTTTTCCATCTCTTTCCTGTATAATCTGTATGAACATAGCTAAAAATGGTAGGGCCCAAAAGCCAGGCTATGAGATATATTCCTTCTATAAAACAACAATCCCACCATTGCAGCTGGGTGCACTAGTTACTGCAGACAGAACTGCCTGGGGATTGGCTGGCCTAGCTTGTCCATCTTCACAATGATTCAATCCACATCACTTCACAATGATTCACCTTTACTGGAATGGAATGTTCTCATCAATGTATGTTTGAGGGCAAAATCTTGACAAATTCCTCCAGAGTTCTATATTTATGGTTGAAATAGGTGGCTTAATAGGCATAAATCTAAATTCTTCAAGACTCTTCTTTCTAGCAGGCTAATCTGTGAACTACAGAATCATTTTTACTCTTTTGAGGTATGAAATAAACTTCTCTCTTATTAATAGCGAGCCAAAACATTGTCTTGTTCCCATTGTTCTGACACTTAATGATTTTTTAGAGTTTTCAATTTTAATCTTAATGGGAAAAGGCAGGGAATTAGTCAACTGAATAAGAGCCTGGGTATGGGTCACTTAAAGGGTAAAACAACCTTAAAATTAGTGAGGCACTGGAGAAGTCTTTTTAAAACTTTTGAAAAATTACATTTTAAGATGGTGGGGAAAGTGAACTAATCTCTTGATATCAAGGCAAGCTCTCCCACTGGTTGAAAAATGGCAAACTCCCCCAATATAGTGCAATTTACTCTAAGTAATCTTACCTCTTACTTTATTTAGAATAAAAGGGAAAAGTTTGCTGGGCCCTTTACCAAGTCTGCCCTTTTAAAATTTATATTTTGAAGTTACATTTTCTAACCTACAGAAGGATACGTGTGTAGCAATTTTGTTTTAACTTTATATAGGAACTGAAGGAAGATTTAAAAAGCATCAACTGCAACTAGAATTTAGCTTGTTTTGTAGTTGACAAGCTTAATTCCCAGCTTTATATGTATATATATAACTCCAAAATAAAGTTCTAGGGCTAAAATCTAGATGGTTCAACCTCATCTGGCACCAGTCAGTGGAGTCATACTGATGTAACTGACAGTGTTTGACTCTACTTTTCAAAGATATTACTTTGATAATCCAACGTACTCAGAGTTTTTCCCCTCTAATGTCAGATCTGCTGGAGGACCAAAACCTACTACTGCTACCAGCTAATGAAGGAACTCCTCAATTAATAGAGGTCTGTTGAGATCCTGCAAACCCTGTTGGAGGTTTGTTCCATGAACAGGAAAAACTGAGAAATCACCATAATAAACTAAAGCATTCTATTTAAATGTGTCTTATTTGGAATGATTTTTACCTTTTTATTTATTTTTTTCTATATGCTTTGTGTTAGCTATGATGTCAATCATGCAAGAGTCAACAAACCACCTAGATGAGAAATATGTCTTCAGTGATGCACACTGAGCTTTATTCTGCCTCCTTGGCATGTCTAATACTCCCATGATATACAATGGGATTTTTGAGTATGATAGACTAGTAGGATTGGGCCCATAATGTCCTGAAATGACAACTTGCAAAATTAAGAGTGAACTTTGTCCTACTGATTTGTTTCAGAAACGGAAGCAAAATACAAACATTATATAACCAAACTGCCATACAAGTAGAAGTTGCAATGGACGTAGGCACTGAAGAAATGCCTTTACATTAAAAAGTAATAAACTCATTGCAAACACAGCTAATCAATCATTCTCTTGGCACAAATAAGGTTTGAGGAGAAGGAAGATGGTTCAAATTGCAATTCAGTAATGATGCTACAAAACCAAAGGCTAAAATAATTTAATGTAAGTTAAAACCAAGGTAAACACTCTTCTGAAGTTCATGTTACTTTTAGATCCATTGTTTTGAAGAAAAAAAGTTAATCCCTCTGAAGAATGTTAGTGCTTGTAAAGTATTTTATTGCATTCACTTGATTGTGGTATTTAGAGCGTGCAATGTGGCCAGTACATATTAACCATGTTGTATTGAAATCTGTCTCTCCAAACACATGCAAGTTGCACAGAAGTGCAAAATATTTAAAATACTGGAAGACTTAGGGAGCAACCTTCATCCACAATGGAAAATGACTAATTTATAGTCTTTTTTGTTACTAAACATTTCACTACTTGATATCTTGGAAAAAATATAGCATATCACGTGTCGTAACTGGTGGCAGAATATCCTACCATACACAACAGAGATGTCTTCGATCCAATTGCCAGGTTATGCCACAGCTGAATTGAGATCAGTGGGAGCTACAGCGAATTAGAGTTTCTGAGGATCTGGCCCATACTATTTTGAGTTGAGCTGTACATTTTGTGTGTGTAATGCACAGAGAAAAGTATCCTACGAAGGTGGAGGACTAATTAAGGACCTTAGGATATGTTCCATAGTTAACAATTTTCTAATCTCACATTCACTGAAGTCTTAACGCTAATTGACTTCCATGAGTACAGGATTCAGTCCTCAGCACATTGTTCTGGACAGTTTTTGTCCTTGACTCCCAGTGATGAAATAGTGATTCATGAACCTGTAGTTCAGTTGGTTTCTGTAAGGGACAACTTACATAAATACAACATAGAAAAAGAAAATTCAGCAAATCTACCTGAAAAATGCAGCTAAAATACCCATTTATATTATTTATTCGGGATTTTCACTCCAGGATTTTAGCTCCTTAGTGCAAGGGAATAATCCTTGATTTCTCCTGTACCTCCCTTTGGCCCCACCCCCTACTCCATCTATGGTTGGCAGAGGGTATCATTTTGTCAGCAGAAGGAGTTGTCATAAGAAATCAAAGCTGGAGGTAAGGTGCCAATGTTTTCTATTTGTGTTTTCCTTAATAAACTCTAAGCACTCGGGGTAACATAACTAAATCCATCTTTTGACCATAAAAACTGCACTACCATATCAGAGAAGGGTTTCATCTGTTCAGCAACCTGACTCCAACAGTGGCTCGCATTAGGTGCTTCGGAGTGCAAGAAACCTTCTAACTGGACAATTATAGAATAACCTGACACAAAGGGAGTTGCTTGTGCATTCAGAAGTCCCATTAAGGCCTGGGACTCTATTCCCATTGCCACATGGGGAAGGATGGTAGGATTGGACCTTAATTTACTTTATTGCATGCCTCTTCCAAACCACTTCTCAAACTGCCAATGAAAAATGATAACACTGCTGTGGTATTTCAGTTAAGAAAAATGTGACGGATTCTTATATTACATCTTGCTTTACTTATTGGTGAGGTTATGTCCTCCAGAAGAGTATCCGTTCTGTAGTTTAGAACATATAGAATCTAACTGTTGTAAATGTAATTGCATCTTTCTTCTTGAGTGTTTGTGGAAAGGATAATGTGCTTACAGGAACAATGACAGACTGAAAATAAGGGGTCAGTGGATTTGACTGGGGGATAACTCTGAGTTGAATTTTTTATATTTAATTCTATATATCTGTGTGACATACCTGGGTACAATCCAGATTAATGAGCAGCTGTGTCATCCCAGCCCTGCAACCTAGGGTACCTTGCTGAAGTAGTTCCCGCTTGGGCCACTCACAAACAGCCTTCCAGCATGCAAGCCACACCCTGAGTATCAATGTATAGCTGCAGCCTGCCAACCACACTTGGGTTACACTCTGGCTCTCGCCCACCTCGGTTATACTGCACGGTGACCCCAACACATCCCCAGTCTTAGATTTCCCCCCAGAAATGTATGCCCTGTACTGCTCAGCTCTCTCCTAGACAGTATAAATTATATTAACTCTGTTATTCATTTAAGAGAATAATATGCACAGAACTTGTCACCTCAAACGGAGTTTTTTAGAAACTTCAGTTTAAACACACTGGATTAGCTCCCCTCCCCCAGGGGCTGCAGCGCTTCCTGGAGCGGTGTGGGGCCGGGGACAGGGCAGGCAGGCAGGGAGCCTGCCGTGGCCCTGGTGCACGCTGCTGCCACCCCGGAGCCGCTTTAGGTAAGTGGCGTTGGGCCGGAGCTCAAACCCCTCCTGCCCC